AACCACCTCTTGAGTATTCCTTGCCTAAGAAACCCCTATGAAATTCATTGGGGTTGCCCTAAGCTGGTAGGTGACTTGAAAGGACATATACATGCACACCCTGTTTTAAAAATGACAGTTGTCTGAGTGGCTTACTCAGCATAAAATAAAAACAAGCTAAAATTTCATAAATGATAACAGGAAAACATGATGCAGAACAAAACATGGAAATGATGGATGAAAGGTAGACTGAAGGCCTGTACAGACTGCCAGAAATAATCTAGCTTGAGACCACTTTAACTGCCCTGGCTCAGTGCTAGGGAATCATGGAAACTGTAGTTTTTTCTGAAGCATTGAGCCATCTCTGTCAGAGAGCTTTGGTGCCACAATAAACTATAGTTCCCATGATTCCCTAGCATTGAGCCCAGACAGTTAAAGTGGTTACAAGCTGGATTATTTCTGGCAGTCTATACAGGCCCTTAAACAGCTTCAGTAGGCTAAAACAGATCTTAAAGGCTTGGAAAAGAAAAAGTTAAATGCTTGTTTTTTTGGTTGGCCACACAATCCAAAACAGCATCTTGAGGTGGTATGTATGTGAGTTAGAGAGAGAAAGAGAGAGATGATGCCTCATGCCATAACTTTACTGAGTTGACTACCTTTGTTTAAACCAAGGCAAGCCATCTCCTGCCCTTGAATGTGTTGGATTACAGCTCCAGTCACCGTCAGCCAATACTCAAGGGTTATGGAAGCAGAAGACTACAAGCTTAGGAGGTCACCATGTTTAGTCTACCTCTAAACTAAACAATTCTTTTGCATTTGCTTCACTATTCTTTTCTATGAAGGAAATCAGTAATCTTTATCAACACCCAAGATGTTCCTGATGTCAGAATCCAGCAAGAATTGAACAGTCACCAGGAAAAGGAGCATTTGGCAAGATATTTGCACATCTTTCCACAGTTGGGTTAGTAATATTGGACTATCACCAGTGGTTATACATTTGTCCAAGATTTTTTACTGTTGATCCAAATCTGTACAATTGCCTGTTTTAAAATAATGATTCTGAAACCTTAGGTTCTGGACTTTATGAATAACCAGATGAGCTTTGAAGAACCAGATCCACACCATCGGGCTCATGGTCTGTGCACTGATTGAAAGAGAAGCACTACCTTTGGAATACCTTGGGTATGTATGCAGAATTAAGCTGCTCACACTTGAGTTGTAGTACACAGTCTCAGTTCCCCAGATGTTATTTGGACTTCAATTCCCAGAATCCCAGGCAGCACTGGCTAGCAGTCAAGAAAGACCCAATGTTGGAAACTACACCTTAGGACCAGTGAAATGAGTAGAGGAGAGCAGGAGGAAATATTCCTTTAGCTATGATGTGATTTCAGGTACTGAAGTTTTGAAGAGGCAGTCCTCCTGTTCAAAAATCTTAGTTCTTATGCTGAGTTTGGTAGATTGACAGCTAGCTTTTGATCCACTTCCAAAGTAATAATCTTCATTATATTGGCTGTTGGTTACAATGGGAATGTTTCCAGGATATGTCTAGCTGTTATGGTGGTTGAAACATTTTATAGCAGAAAAATCTTCAGTTCTCAGTTATATATTTGATATCAGTAAAACGTTTCTGTCATTTTTTCTACTGCCCCACCCACCCTATAGATCACTGAAAAATTTTGAGTTCTCTATCTTGAAGGTTACATGTTAAGCAACTTAAGTGTTAGTTTCTGCACATGCTGACTTGCCTGTTCTGGAGGTACAAAGAAAATGAAGAAAAGTGAAAAGGGGCTAGAAAAATCAATGCCAATTTTCACCCAATATTTAATTGTTGTTAACTGACTTCAAGTCAGTCCTGACTCATGGTGATCCTGTGGATGAGACTTCTCCAAGACTGCCTATCCTCCACTGATCTGTTTAGGTCCTGTAAATTTATACCCATGATTTCCATCTAGCCTGCAGTCTTCTTCTCTTTCTACATTCCTCCACCTTTCCTAGCTTTATTGTCTTTTCCAATAAGTCATGCCTTCTCATGATGTGGCCAAAGTACGATAACCTCATTATCTTGACTTCCAGGGAGATTTCAGGGTTGATCTTTTCAAGTTCCAGAACCCATTTGTTTGTCTTTTTGGCTGTCCACAGTATCCTCAGCACTCTTCTCCAACACCACATCTCAGATGAATTGTTGGTCCTGCAGTCTTTTGTGTCTCCTTTTTTGTGGATGGGGATGTATATTGATTGTTTTCAGTTTGTTGACCACTGTTTATTTTCCATATTTGTTCGCATATTTTGGTTAGCACTAGAGTTGATTCTTTCTGTGTGGATTGTAGCATTTCAATTGGAAAGCCATCTGTTCCTGGCAATTTATTTTTCCCACTTTCTCTTACTGCAGCTTCCACCTTGCTTTTTAGAATTTGGGGTTTATCTTCATATGGCTCTGAATTCCATGTATTTTTCATTTCTTCATCTCTTTTATATAACTTTTATGTATATTGCATCCAAAGTCTTTTTATTTCTTCC